TCACATAAGATCAGGACCCACCAAAATGACTTTTTTTTAAAACTTTATTACCTCTTTTAAACACCCTCTTTCTAAATATAGTCACATTCTGAGGTTCAGGGAATTAATTAAGACTTTGACCTGTGAATTTTGAGGAGGTGACACAAGGTAGATCATAAACACTGCTTTCTTCTTTTAAACTGTGTCTTACTGTTTAGTTAGTCCATAATTCACTCACCCAGCCTCTGTATAGTAGAGAAGAAAACTGTTTCCATGTTTGTTATGAACAATCTTATATGTAAATCTCTGCACTCTTTTAAAAGAGTTTCAAGCTTTGCCCTCCAAAGAAGTTGTCTTGAGTTGATGGTAATTTCTTATGGAAAAGCAAATACACAGTATCTACCAGTAAAAATTATAATAGCCATTACCATATAATGCTGGTGTGAAAAATTCAAGTACAGAAGTCGCCTCTTGGCAGTCTGTTTTCGGAATGCTGTTTTTGAGATTTCCTCATTTACCATTTTTGAGACCTCATTTATTGAGTCATACTGTTATTTTCCTTTATTGCTTTTAAAATAGATTTTATTTTTTAGATTTTTTGGGGGTTCACAGGAAAAATGAGAGAAGGGTAAAGAGATTTCTGTATATCCCCTGCTCTTATGTATCCCATATCAACTCCCCTACCAGAGTGATCCCTTTGATATAACTGATGAACCAATATTGACATTCTTAACCTAAAGTTATTAAAGTCCATAGTTTACATTGAGGTTCATTCTTGATGGTGTACACTCTGTATTTATTTGTTTGTTTTTTGTACTGACTTGTTCAGTAAAAGTTTGGGCCCTCTTGAGCCAGGGATAAGAAGACATTGGTGCTTTTCTCCACACATGGGACAGCCCTGGAAGTTAGGCTGGCTAGGGATTGATTTTTCTATTGAGCTTTGAAGGTGAAGATTGAGGAATTAGCATACTCAGAGTAACAAAGCTGTATGTGGCAAGGGCTGGATATAAATTCACTTTATTCTAAATTATGTTCTTCAGGAATGTAGTAGTAAATCAGCAGGAATCTTGAGATTGTTCTTGATGCTAGCACAGCATTTCTTTTATAGGTGCTGCCTTGAATTTTCATTTGGTGTAAATATCAATGCTTAGCTTGACATAATGCACTTGTCCTTTGGCTATTGGATAGTTTGTTTTGATAAATAACTTGCACTGTAGAGATTAGATATTAGATTTTAATACTAGGCATATAGTATATATATACACACATCTCTATATATACATATAAACATACACAGTTTTTAAAATATACATTGAGTACTACATCAAGTGAAAATGAAGTGGAAAGTTTAATATACCTTGACATGACTTTAGTGATGAATAGAATTGAACTAGTATGATTTTCTTTTCACATTTTCTGTAATCACACCCTTCTGTCACTATTAGCCCTTTAAAAGAATTTTTTTTTGTGCTATAGTTGATATTTAACATTATTACTACTTCATTGTTTGACTGTCTTTAAATTGTTAGTTAGGTTTACATTATGTATGTATCTGTTCATTTTTCCTCTGTGGAGATAGTACAATTAAATGTTGATTCTGCTGTGGGAAAGATCTATCATGGGAAGCATTAACTACTTCTAAAATATTTCTTTCCCCAAAGAGGGTATTTTGTTTATTGTATCTGAATTTGAAATAATGAAGGCTGGTTATGTAACACCTTAGAGCTTAAAACATTAGCAAACAATGAAGGAAACAGTGGGAAAGAGTTTGGGAGGTGGAGGAGGAAGGGGGAGGGCCCAGAGAAAAGCAGCTAAATGGAAAGATGGGAGCTAGGGGGGAGGGAGGAAGGGATTTGTGCAAGTGCAAAGAGGTCAATAAAATTGAGAGAATATGAATGAGTGAACTGTGAAGTGATCCACAGAATACCACACGTGCAGTATTGGAAGTCCCATTCATGTGAACTGTTAAAACAGCCGAGGTTGCATTAACAACTAATCTTACAAAGCAGTGGCCTGGCCTTGTGAGACAAGAAAAGTCTTACAAGCTGGCTTGGGAAATTGAATGTAAGGTGAAAAAGAACATTAGCAAAAATTGCATGAAATGAAGTAGTGCAGAATGGCAGAGAGTTCAGTTAAGGATGACCTCAGTGTCCTTCCTGTAGGTAGGGAAAAGCCCACTTCTGCCCTACTATGTGTTTCTCCTTTACTTGAGCAGAGAGAACACTTCATTCCTAAGAACTGGCTTCTAGTCAAATGTGTGGATGTTTTCTCATACACCAAGCAAATCTCTTTCTCTGCTGGGCACTGTGCAGTGTAACTCTATTCTGACGCTGCCTAACTGAATATGGTGTCAGATGTCCCAAGTTTAGGGGACATTGGTGGAAATGTCAAGTTTCTAATTTTTGCTGGATCTTTCTACTGACAAACCCTTCTCCAAGAGTCACCTGCAGTGGCCTCATTAGAGCAAAACACACACTGCCACCCAGATTTACAAGGATTTAAGGAGCTCTATATCTGGAACCAGGGTCAAACACCCAATGTTAGAACAAAATATGCTTCTAGTGCTCTTATCAATTAAGAAATTACAAGGGCTTTAGGGGCTCTGTCAGGCATGGGGCCAAAGACATGAGAATAAGATGTTCTTATTGCTTTGAATTTAGGAACTCTGTGCCATAAGTGTACCATATTCTATTTCACGGGGTTAGACAATGCAGTTTCATGAAGTGGATGAACTGGGAAATGACAATGGCTGTTTCCAAGATCTGTTGCAGCATCATTATGCTGACAGACTGTGTTCTTGTAGCTCTATACCTATGACCTCTTTTCATTGTAAGTAATGTTTATCAAGTAGCATTTGAATTCATGCTTGTTTTGAAGCCATGAACTTAAAAGTCCCGAACTTCCTTCTGAATTATTGCCAATAGATGAATTTTGCTGGGTTTTAAATAGAGGGTCTTGTTAATACATGCAAGTGTGTCCCATGAAATAATCCATGATCCCTCAGCATAAGTACTGCTATCACCCTCACTTTGTCAATGTGGAATCTGGGCCATCCCTGGCAGAACAGGTTAAAGTGCAGCAGTGAAGCTCACCAAAGCTACTTCAGCACCATTTCTATCCCCAGCCAGAGAGGTGACTCACATGGCACGGCAGACCTCTCCTGACCTGCTCATTGCTCCCCTCAGCAGTGTACTTCGTAGATCTGCCTGTTCTGCTCCCCACTCTGTCTGTGGTGAAGCCTCTCACTGCTCCTGGACCTCTGGCCTGTACCCCAGTTCTGTATGCATAAATGAAATAAATCTTTAAAAAATAAATAAATGAAGAGTCTGAATCTTAAAAAGGCAAATAGCTTGTTCCTAGTCTACAGCTGGTATGTGGCAGAGCCCATCCAAACCCAGGCAAGCCAACTCTGAGACCAGTTGTACAGCTTACCCTTGATTTCTCTCTGCTTTCTTAAATATCTAGTTACTTTTTAGAATACTCTGTATGGTATTATAATGATGGGCACATGCCCTCACACATTTATCCAAACATATTGAATACACAATACTGAGAGAACACTTGTGTTAACGGTGGACTTTGGAGACTACACTGTGTAAGTTAAATTTGGTTGAAAATATATCATTCTGGTGAGTGAGAGTTGATAATAAGAGAGCTACGTGTGTGGGAGTAGGGGTATATGAATATCTCTGTGTCTTCCTCTCAATTTTATCATAAACCTGTAATTACTCTTAAAAGTAGTCTTTAAAAATAAGGGGGAAAAAAAAAACCCATCAGATCCAAACCTGAAAACTTAATCTCTCTTTAACTTAATAGTCCCAAATTTAGTCCAGTGCAGATAGCAAGACCCAGCATGCGGCCTGCCCAGCCATGGGCAAGACCAGCCTCTGATATAAGTTGCATCACTCACCAACCCCCAGCCATGTCCCACTCACTGGCCTAAAAGCTCACATTTAGGGAGCGATGCCCTGGTGAACAGTGAGGGTGCCAGGGATGCCTGTGCCTTTGAGCTTCAGTTACACACTCTTGATCCCCCATGGTGGGTGCAGCTTGCCAGCCTTGCTGTCCCAGCATGGCCCTGGGCGTTCATGGGGTTCATTCTTATTCTCATGGAGTTTGACAAATACCTCTTTTGGGCTCAATTTCTGTTTTCCATGTTCCTCCCACCTCACCCTGTCCTTTTTCTAATTCTGGGCTTCATTCATTCTCATATCCCAGAAATCTTTGTTTGGTCTAAAGCTAAGGATTATAGTGCTTCAGGTGAACTGAGCCTTTTCTGTGTCATTATCATTTCCCTAGCTTGACATTCAAGGCAACACCTCCGTATTCTGGGGGAAGCTTTGTTCTCACACACTAGGCCCCAAATGCTGTGTGGACGGGGTGCCTCGGAAGACTGGTAACTGGCAGGCGGACATGCATGAGTGTGGGCCCCAGGTTTGTAAAGGAGTGGCGCCTAACAGGATGTTCCATGTTCCTTTTCTAGTTGGCCTGCTGCTGTGGGACTGCTGGCTGTGCCCTCTGCTGCGACTGCTGCCCCAAGATTCGACAGTCCCGGGCCACCCGCTTCATGTATGCGCTCTACTTCATCCTAGTCGCTGTCCTCTGCTGCATCATGATGTCCACGACGGTAGCCAATGAGATGAAAGAGCGTGTGAGTCTACCTCTGTTAGCACTTCCCATTCTGATATTTGATGGGGGTGTGTGGGAGACACTCAGTTTAAAGGATGGGGTCACCCAGCCCTGAGTTCTGGGATACTTGCGTTTGGAGACAGAGAGAACTGAATGAAAGTAGGCTCCTTCCATCTCCATGGGGGTGACCAGTGGCCACCTGGCTGTTAGTGCGGGTTCATCTTGTGTTTGTGATGGTTGTGAGGAGGAAGACTGAAATGTCAGAGTTTTACTCTCTTGGACAATCCACTTAAATCTCCCATTTAAGGACTTTATTTCGGGGGTAATTTAATGTCCTCTTAAATTCAAGAAGCCCTGACTTTCATGCGTCCCTATCATTTCCCTATGGTGGCAACTATCAGTGTATATGCATGTCTGTGGCTTGTAAGAGGTTTTCATTCTCAGTGGATTTGAGCTTTGGTTCCAAGAAACAACATCTGAAGCTGTATAAGATTTTAATATATGTTTGCTGGTAAACCTGTCAGGAATACTATTCCTGATAGTCAAGGTCATTTGGGAACACTGGTGTATCTTTTATGGCTTTCACAATAATAAATTTAACATTTGGTTACCATGCAAGTATCCTGCCCCACAAAACAGTTCCTTATGAGTCCATCCAGTATCTGTGCTCCTGACTGGTATAAAACATTTCAGGAACAGGGATATAGATTTGATACTGCTAGGGAAGGCTTCTTGGAGGAAATGGCATGTGTGATAATAAGTATTTTGGTAGCTTATATTTATGGAATGGTAGCATGAGCCTGGGTTTATTCTTAGCATTTTCCCTGTGTCATCTCAGTTCATTGATTCTGCCCTCACCTGAACAGTCGGTACTATCATCATCCTGCTAGCAGATGGGGAAACTGAGTCACAGAGTCATTCATATACTGTGCCTAATGTCTCAAGCTCTGAGTGATGGAGTTGGGTTTGAATCCAAGCTGATTATATTCTTAGCTACGAGTTGTGTATGTTAAGAGAAGGGAAGAGAACACGAATAAGGTGTGCACAGGAGGAAAGAGAGGAGACATGGATGTTATAGGAGTTTCAGTGCAAAGGTTATGTACTTGACCATAGTCTGATGGCAAACAGGGAGCCATTAGAGAATCTTGAGTAGAAGGCTATCACAGAAATGGGGGATGTTTAGGGAGGTGAGCCCCAGTTGTGGTGTGTGTGCGCAGTGTGATTGGGGGTCAGAGTAAAAGGTGGGGGAAGGGGCACCCCTGAGCCTCAGAGAGGCCTTGTAAATATTTCTATTGCCTGAATGTACTCATTTAAAAATGGTTTGGCTGGGCTCCCTGCATAGGGAATGAGGGCCCTGTGGGCGAAACCAATCCCTTTCCATCTTTAGGGCTTCATAGGGGGCTGGCCAACTGGTCACAAAGTCAGCTTGTTTCATTGCCTATAGAATAGAGGCTGACCTCATACCCAGGCGATGCTGAGTGTGGGTGTTGAAAGGTCCCCTTGTGGGGACTCACACTGGGCTTCTGCTAGAATTCTCACCCCCTCTTTGTTGGCCCGTGGAAATGTTCAAGGGTGCACTGGGAGAGAGAAAGCACTGTTTGCCTATAAGGATCCTGTTGGAGTTTGTAATTGCCTCCCGCCCAGCTTCCTTGCCTTTGTGTGCAGTGCATGAGGGGCTGCTGTCCAGAGCCATATGGGCCTTTGATACATGGGCTAAGAACACAAAGGGCAGCCCCCTTTTTGGCTTTTTCAGGGTTTTGCTTTTGTTTCAGAGTACAGCCCATATTTAAACTTGAACAAGAGAGAACTGCAAGGAGATCTTGGGTCACACTTGGTCCTGTCACTTTTTCCTAGAGAAACTCCTTCCCATGAGAACTCTGCCCAAAAAAAACTCTCCCCTGCTGGCGGAACAGTGTGACTCTGTCTTCCAGAGCATATTTCCCATTTCAAAACCCAGGAGTCATTTGATTGTAGGTCAGTCTTACTATTACCCATGCAATTCAAACAGCCTTGATATCTGGGGAGTGAAAATTTTGATTTAGATTAGAAATGGTAAAAATTGGTGAGGCCCTCCCTGGTGGCACAGTGGGTTAGAGCGTAGCACTGCAAGCTGGCTGCAGCTGCTTCAGTGCGAGTTTAATCCCCAGCCCCGGAGGTGACCACATGGAACAGCAGACCTCTCCTGACCCACCCACTGCTCCCCTCA